AGAGAAAAATTTTTGAAATTCGCCCCCTTATTCCGCAATCTTTGGGCGTCCATACGATGGATCTCTCATCCCTCCACAGCCTCGGGGCCCGAGGTGGTAGCGGAGCCTGTCATCGATTTGGGGTAACTGGGGAAACTGCTGCTGATACTGATACTGGGAGACCTGGTGCAGCACGTGTTGTTGATAGAGCCGAAGTTACTGAAATTGTTGCATTTGGGCCTGCATGGCCCGCATGCACTGCATCAAGTCCTCTAGTTGGTTCGGGCTGGCCGCTGGGGGCACGACCGAAGGTTCGGTGAACGTCGCTCTGACTGTAGAAGGGAGTGGCGCGACGACAGGTGCCATTGCAAGAGGCACATTCAAGCTGGGGATTCCGTTCGCCGAGAGGGGGACGGTGAACTGTCCGATACAGACAGTAGGAAGCTGGGGTTGTTCCCTGGAGTTATCCATTTCCGTGCTTCGTTCGACGTTGCTAGAGGAAGCCATGAGTGTTGCGTTTCTAGAGAGTAAAGAGACGTGGAAGTTTGGAGTAAGGCTTTTCGAAGCGTTTCCCACAGACGACGCCAATTGATGTAACCGTTTCTGGTCACGTACCAATTTTTTGTGATGTATCAATTTTTTTGGCTAAGTACCTCGTCATTTGACCTGCTCCCAGGAGAGGATGGTGGAGCTCTCTGGTGACGAGCTCCCTGGTGGTGAACTACTTGGTGACGTTGCTAGAGGAAGCCATGAGTGTTGGGTTTCTGGAGAGTAAAGAGACGTGAAAGTTTGGAGGAAGGCTTTTTGAAGCGTTTCCCACAGACGGCGCCAATTGATGTAACCGTTTCTGGTCACGTACCAATTTTTTGTGATGTATCAATTTTTTTGGCTAAGTACCTCGTCATTTGACCTGCTCTCAAGAGAGGATGGTGGAGCTCTCTGGTGACGAGCTCCCTGGTGGTGAGCTACTTGGTGACGAGCTCCCTGGTGGTGAGCTACTTGGTGACGAGCTCCCTGGTGGTGAACTACTTGGTGA